AACAGAAAAAGCGAACCCTGATATGAAGCTTACCAGAATCGTGACGTGTAAAACCATATTTGCTTTGATAACTTCTCGAGTTTGCTAACGTGAGAAATCCTGAGCGGATGGGGATCCGGTGTTTGCTTTGCATTTAGTTTCGGGAAACATGAGCCTCCCTCTGGGATGACGATTGCGTAATTACATAGGACTCTACCATTCACAAAAAAGGGTTGTATCCCGAACTGCCTTTTGAAAGAAAGATCGTCTATTTCTACAAAATATATGTAACGTTACAATTATACCTCTGAGTATAATGACTGTTAACACATACTGGTAGTCCTTCTTTTACACTGCACCATTCGATTACAATTGTTTAAAAAAGCAAAGTACCCCCTTATTCGTAGTCGTGTAGTCCAACATGGTGGTCTTTTGGTCTATGTTCGTAGTTTGATCGTATAGAAACTGCTTTTTAAAGTCTTCCTTCTGTTTATCCTTGATAGAATGGGGGCGGAATTTACCGGACAGATCCCCGACTTATACTGTCTTCTACAAGTACCGAAGGGTGCTTCATATGAGGAGCTGAAGCAGAGTTATCAACGGCTCGTTCTGAAGGTAAGTGCCCCCCTCCCACCCCCGAACAGCATCAAAATTAACCTCTCCTCTCCTCAGCAATAGCTGTGATCATCCAACTCTTGTTTTTACTTCTTCCAGTCTTGCTTCTGATATCATAGACTTAAAAATACCAGTGTCCACATATTACGTTCAAAATCTAATGGCTTCAAGCTACAAACGTCTTTACCATCATGACCACTACGTCACATGTTACATGGAGGTTTTAGACTTCCGGGAAGTTTCTGGGACCCTCCTGTCATTGTGTCAGACAATCTTCCACACCATGTGCTGTCAACCAACTGTAACGGTTATGAATAAACTCTGGACGTCGACAAGCAGATTTACAAAACAGTTCAGCCACATACTTCTGACACGGAAGAAAACTTGCCTAGACAACGTTTCAATATATTTCTTACTGTCACTGTGGACAGGGTTTAAGACAGTGCATTTTTGCTTGCAGTATCATCCGGACAAAATAGACCGGCACCAGTCTCCTGAGGACCAGGCAGCAGCACAGGACATGTTTGTGGCTGTGGACAAAGCCTGGAAGACTTTAGGTGATCCTACTCTGAGGAAGGAGTATGATGCCAGACTTAATGGTACAGTTATTTGCCATATTTCTACTCCAAGGAACCCCCTTTTATGTATATTACTGCGAAAACAAATTGCTTTATGCTTTTAGAGGCCACCTTGCACATTTTTTGTAACAGCCATAATTGTTTGTTTACAGAGAAAACTGTCAGCCAAGAGTTTCCAGTTGATGAAGAGATCACACTAGCAGATATGGATTATGATGAAGGTAGGGTGCCATTTGTGCACAAGGTAGATTTTTCCGCTGTGGCATACTTATAAATGTACATCTCTTATGTGTAAGAACTTTTGTACTCTTGTACTGTGTATAGTTTCACTAAATCTGCCATTTGGTCTTAGATTTCCAAGGTAAAATCACTCCATACCCATGTTTGATAGCCCATCACAACAAAACTGATTCCAAGGCTAGGATGATTGCAAATAGCTTGGATGTCATTAATTTTTAGGCTCTAACAATCTCAGTTGGAAAGGACCATCACCGTACATTGTAACCCCCAAAGGAAGGAGGGCGCTGACGCCGGCGGCGGCGGTCACTTCCAAAGCTGACTGATAGCTAGCTTGTCCACCTGCCATTATGCTCCATTAAGGTTTCTGTAATGTGCATGGAACACATTAAAACTGTAACCCATTATCTATGCGTTATCTATTCCAGATGAAGGTGTGTACTCGTACCCATGTCGCTGTGGGGATGACTACTCAGTTTGTGAGGATGAGGTTGGAGATGGGAGAGACATGGTGATCTGCTGTAGTACCTGTAGCCTCACTGTCAGAGTACAGTGTGTCAGTAGTATGAATGAGCAGGATGATACACATCATCAGGAGGAGAGCAGATGACAGTAGATGACATTGTATTATGGTTGCATAGGAAGAAAGCTCAAAATGTATTATGCAAGATTCTTTACTGTTATGTGTTTGATTCAATGCAATGAAAGGTGTATTAAACACACAGATGATTCAATCTTGTATTTTATTAAAACTGCCAACTGCTAATTGCTACCAAAAGAATTACAACAGAAATGTCAATCATTAAGCAGTCTGACATTGTTCCACTAGAGGTCACTGCTTACTAAAATTTGATGAGTTTTCTGTTTGATAGATACAACTGGAGATGATCATAGGGGATAATATGACCTTACAGGCAGTTTAACTTAACATTTTATCTTATTTACCATTACATCTCAGCCTCTACCCCTATGTTGTCATTGTTTTAAAAGTTACTCTTTCTTCAAACCAGCACCATTCTCAAATTTCTCTGAATAATAAATTACATTGTACATTTATTTTGTGCAACATATCAAGATTCATTTCATATCACTGATAAATAATACATTTTGTACATAGTGTCTATGTTTGCAAAATACAGTTGTTCAATACAAGTAGAACATAAAGGTTGAAAGATACAGTCATCATTTTGCAAATCAACAAACTTGTCTTGTATGTGTACAGCTTTCCAATGGGCAAACAGGCACAACGTATTTATTAGCGACGCTATCTGTATGTTCACACCTGCCACTTGGTCAGATCTATCTGGTGCAGATCCGAGCATGCCACCCTCTCGTTCCCAGGGCGGGGGAGTGTGAAGACGTCGGGCTGCATGTGTGTGGTGTCGTCCGTGTTGTCGCACAGAATTCGGGCCAACGTCGTGCTCTTTATCTCTGCAAGTTGGTCTAATAGAGTACACAAAACGAAATTATTTAGAAATAGAGTAACTAGAACTTGGAAAAGCCACAACA